GAGCATCGTTTATTCTCCTGCAGCTCTGCACGGACACCGTGGCTCCGAGCCACCCGGCCACCGTGACGTTGAGGGATTTTAATCAAGAACCCAACTATTTACTGCCCATGACATTTTGACCTCATCTCATATGCAGGTCATACATCTTCCTCAAATCAGTTTTCGGTTCCATATTAAAAGGCTGTTGTACACAAATTGACTCAAACCGCGTTCTCCGTTGCGCTGACCTTAACGTAATAAGCATACGGACACCTTGATGGTTTTTGGCTAAGAATCTCCTCGAATTTCCAGCCGTGTGGACCGTTTCATCCACACGTCCCCTGACATTCTGTGCAAGCTCCATATTCTGTACGATGGTCTAAATGATGATGTAAATGATGGTGTAAATGCTACATTCCGATGTGCATTTGCTGCGGACGGGTGCAGAATGTGGCACACTGCACACGAGGGTGCACACCCTTATTAAGATCGTCACACATGTCAGCTTTCTCACACAGTCAACAACCCAAGGCGATTTAATGCAGCTTCACACACGCACACGAGATCCTCCACGCTGTGGACCTGTGCAATCGGAACAAGTGAGCCGCGACCATGGTGCGTGGCATCGGCTCCTGCCAAACGGCATCGTCGCATCGAGCCTCGGCAACGTCGTCGTTGTTGTTGTTGTTGACGCTGGCATCAGTGGTAAGATTTCGGAGCTCGCAGCGTGTGGTAACAAACCAAGGGCGTCTTCTCTGAAGCGCACTGCTGGCTGGCATCCAAGTAATGCGGGCAGGGACAGCGCTCTTCCAGGAAGCTAATAGCCCTCCGCGTGGTGCCGCGGGACAGCGTCTGCAAATGTAACTTTCCTCCGACTATGTGGTGGGCTGCAAATTAGCAGCCAGCAGCCATGGTTGCAGCAGATGAAGATTACAGCATCTCCCAACAGACATCCGCCGGTGCGGAGCTACTGTCTGCCAGCCACGTCGGCGCCACGTAGAGAAGAGGGCGCGTGTGGACGTGGGCATCACAGGTTTTCGTATAGACCCTGGTGACCATCGTCCCTGCATGGCACACCCAGGAGCGCACAGGCCGAGTGGACGCCCTCGTTAGGCCGCACGCGAGCCAGCCATCATCGCCCCAGTGGTCCTCGCGATGCAACAGAGAGAAAACGGATCTCAGAGTCGTTTGTTGTCTTTTTTCCGGCGCTGGCCGGGAACGAGATGAAGCGGGGCGCCGGTGCCGTGCGGCGCAAAAGCAGCGGCTGCAGGGCTTGACTCACTCCCGCAAGGTCACCTCCAGGCAATGTCCCAGTAGCATAGACGTGCGATGCAGTGGCCACAATTGTGTCCCCAGGCACACTTGCATTGCGCGATTAGCATGCGGGCCGCAGGTGTGGCTGCAACACATGAACGCATGGAACACGCAAGCCACCGTGGCGCACCCTGCTTCTCTCCAAAGCGGCAAAGTGGAACCTGCCCATTCTCTTGCAATACGACGTCCAGGAAACGTGACCGACATGTCCTCCTCTGCACGACAGCCATCCACGGCGGCAATCTCTAGCGAGTGCACAAGCGTCAAACCCTGCACAGTGTGTCCCACTGAATGCAGCAAGCTCCTCTTTGTAGGTTTGACATAGGGGGAGGGTGTGTGGGGGTTATGGATGGATCCTCGTGTTTGTGTTTGTCCTTGACAGTGCGGGATGGCCTTCATGCAGTCATGGATTGACAAAGGGCAAAACATTTATATTCAATAATAATTGCATTTATCACAAATGCTAAGTCACCTGATTTCTATAAATTCGTTTTTCCACTTGGAAATGGAAATGTCACAAAAGGACTGTCCACCGCCACACTCGCTGCGCCGGCCTCATCCATCTTGCACGCCCGTTTCCCCGGGTCTCGTCGGACAAATGCAATGTGCTGTCTCCATCGTTTCTCTCTCTCTCTCTCTCCGGGTTATAAATAAGCAATTTGATTGACTGAGTGGCTGGTTAAATTGGCCCGTATGCTCCTCGAAAAAACTGCACCCTAACCCCCATTGTTGTTGAGTTCACTTTATTAGATTGGCCGCGTTCTTGATGCCATCTCGCATTGATCACTGCAGCGCTCCCCATTGTTGGACATCACACCAGGCCACTTGCAGAGACATTGCAAGAGCTACGCTTCATCGGCATGCTGTTAGTAGAATGCTGCACGGTGTTCCCTAAAGATACTCATCCGTGAATTCAAAATTAAGGACATCACATTCACTCTTAAGAAATGTAAGTTGGGCTTTGGCAGGACAGATCCCCATAGAGCTTATGGCCCATGGCTGAGATGATGGCCTATTGTCTGCCAGTTGATACAGCGGCAGAGAACTGGGAGAACACAATCCCAAGAGGACGACCACTGTGGAGATGGAGTGATGAGATCAGCTCATTTGCAGGCGGTAGATGGATTGTGGCATTGTGAGACCACGAACAATAGGATTCTATGCACGCATCGTGAGCCTGTAAGAATCACCATTCATCGATGGATCGATGCATCGTTCCACCCATACTTATACACGTGGGAAATTTTGAGCGTAGCGCCAGCACAGGATGGTCTACCCATGTGACTGACACTACAGGATCTCTAACGTCCACTTTGAAGCATACGGCACCGAGTATTATTACGGCTCCTATACATGCGGCAGCATTTACCGAAGTGGCCACTGGATTCAAACCATGAACCTCTACAACAAGCGCTGAACGCACTACCAATTGGTGTAGAGTTGAATGCCGCTGGTGGTTGTTAAACCTGCAGCTGAGTGAGAGGGCTCAGTCGGTCAGGCTCTGATACGAGAACCATTGGCGTCACTGCTATTTTGTAATAGGAAGCTGTTTTAACAATCCACCAAGGCCACCTTTAAAGCGGTGTAAATTCAAGCATGCATCACCACATCTGGCCACGCACGCACATGCAATGTGCACTATGCGTAAGAGATTGCTCGTGAAAGCAATGTCACTGATGATTGCTAAAGGAATGGATCCTGCCATGGTGGAATGGTTAACACGCTGGACTTGCACTCCAGAAGGCGCCTGTTTGCTCCCCTGGTATGGCGGTCAAAACAACGGTGCAGGTCCTTTAAATCCTCCCGCCTCTGTTCAGCCAGAAGTGTCAATGGGTTTTCCTCACAGTGAGTCGATCGGCAGGTTGCGTGTGGTGGGGTTAAGTGTGGGTATTCCCAATTTTTAAGACTTCTGCCCAGCATGGATCATTGTGCCAAAATACAGCTCTCTTCTGCCAGCAATGGCATGGAGCAAAGCAACCTCGGGGCTGCCCCTTTACCTTTTCTCTTACAGTGAGGGAAAAAAGTAGTTGATCCCCTGCTGATTTTGTACGTTTGTCCACTGACAAAGAAATGATCAGTCTATAATTTTAATGGTAGGTTTATTTGAACAGTGAGAGACAAAATAACAACAAAAAAATCCAGAAAAACGCATGTCAAAAATGTTATAAATTGATTTGCATTTTAATGAGGGAAATAAGTATTTGACCCCCTCTCAATCAGAAAGATTTCTGGCTCCCAGGTGTCTTTTATACAGGTAACGAGCTGAGATTAGGAGCACACTCTTAAAGGGAGTGCTCCTAATCTCAGCTTGTTACCTGTACAAAAGACACCTGTCCACAGAAGCAATCAATCAATCAGATTCCAAACTCTCCACCATGGTCAAGACCAAAAAGCTCTCCAAGGATGTCAGGGACAATATTGTAGACCTACACAAGGCTGGAATGGGCTACAAGACCATTGCCAAGCAGCTTGGTGAGGAGGTGATAACAGTTGGTGCGATTATTCGCAAATGGAAGAAACACAAAAGAACTGTCAATCTGCCTCGGCCTGGGGCTCCATGCAAAATCTCACCTCGTGGAGTTGCAATGACCATGAGAACGGTGAGGAATCAGCCCAGAACTACACGGGAGGATCTTGTCAATGATCTCAAGGCAGCTGGGACCATAGTCACCAAGAAAACAATTGGTAACACACTATGCAGTGAAGGACTGAAATCCTGTAGCGCCCAAAGGTCCCCCTGCTCAAAAAAGCACATATACATGCCCATCTGAAGTTTGCCAGTGAACATCTGAATTATTCAGAGGACAACTGGGTGAAAGTGTTGTGGTCAGATGAGACCAAAATGGAGCTCTATGGCATCAACTCAACTCGCCGTGTTTGGAGGAGGAGGAATGCTGCCTTTGACCCAAGAACACCATCCCCACCGTCAAACATGGAGGTGGAAACATTAAACTTTGGGGGTGTTTTTCTGCTAAGGGGACAGGACAACTTCACCGCATCAAAGGGACGATGGACGGGGCCATGTACCGTCAAATCTTGGGTGAGAACCTCCTTCCCTCAGCCAGCGCATTGAAAATGGGTCGTGGATGGGTATTCCAGCATGACAATGACCCAAAACACACGGCCAAGGCAACAAAGGAGTGCCTCAAGAAGAAGCACATTAAGGTCCTGGAGTGGCCTAGCCAGTCCCCAGACCTTAATCCCATAGCAATTATGTGGAGGGTGCTGAAGGTTCGAGTTGCCAATCGTCAGCCTCGAAACCTTAATGACTTGGAGAAGATCTGCAAAGAGGAGTGGGACAAAATCCCTCCTGAGATGTGTGCAAACCTGGTGGCCAACTACAAGAAACGTCTGACCTCTGTGATTGCCAACAAGGGTTTTGCCACCAAGTACTAAGTCATGTTTTTGCAGAGGGGTCAAATACTTAATTCCCTCATTAAAATGCAAATCAATTTATAACATTTTTGACATGCGTTTTTCTGGATTTTGTTGTTGTTATTCTGTCTCACTGTTCAAATAAACCTGCCATTAAAATTATAGACTGATCATTTCTTTGTCAGTGGGCAAACGTACAAAATCAGCAGGGGATCAAATACTTTTTTCCCTCATTGTAGCTCAAAGAGTGGAGGCCGTGTGAGCTGCAGAGATGCGCGAGCCGTGGCAATTGTACGTCAGCTGTCTGGCCCCTTGGGTTAACGAACACTCACAGATGAAGTGGAGTGTGGCCTTGTTGCTGAGCACGGAGCCGGCCACGTTGCTCGCCTCGCACTGGTACTGCCCCGAGTGGAGTGAGCGCTCTGCATCGCTGATCACCAGGTTACCACCCTGCAGACTGAATCTCTCGGAGTACTCGATCTCCGTGCTGTTCAGCATCCACCTGCATGCGACGGGCAAGAGAGAGAGAGCCACATCGATCGGATAAATAAGTGATGTTTAACTCTGTCATGTTTGTTCAGCATCTGAGAAAACCTTTAAATGTTAATGGAATGAATGATCCCGTTTTTTTAATCATCACGTAAACATCCATTCGGCTTAGTTTACCGGCCTCAAGGCCTTTCTCCACCAATGAGATGGCATTCGCACGTCTCACAAGGAGATGACGTCCGTACTGATGAAGTTGGTTAATCGTCAGTCCCTCCGCAATGCCACCGATACAGAGAGAGAGAGAGCGATTCTACGCGTCCCGCCACACGATATGCCAGCGTTAAACCATCCAGCAGCAGAGGGAGACAGAGCTCTCCTGTTTTTGCTCAAGATCTGTGACACCTTATGACTTTGTAGATTGTCATTAAACGGTGCCATTTGTTTAGGACAGCAAACTCTCTACCAGCTTTGACTTTCTGGGCCTCATCATCAAAGTCTGTTTTTTTAAACAAATACTGCTTGTTTACCAGACGTCATTGGCAAGAGACTTCCCTCTACATAAAATGGCCATTGCAGTGCAGAAAAAACTTCTAAACAAATTTTCTGTATCTCCATAAACATAATAAATAGATGAATTTGCTTTAGTTTATTGGTCATTTGGGCTTCCATAATGATGGAAGGTGTCAGATGACATGTTCGTGTTTGGCCAGGAAATGACAGAACACCAAGCGGATTGCTGAATGATATATTTAGATATTTTTGAGTGGTAATGCTTATGAGCAACGACGCATTTCTCCCACATATAAAATGCTCATTTAGGAATTGGCCAAACATTAAGGTATTTGTCCTCTTGAGGCACAATAATGCCTTCCTGAATAAATAAGAACATTTATTGACAAAATATGAAATAAAACTCAATTTCAAATAGGAAGGTTGAAGCTTGAAAATTTCAGAATTATGGATTGTCCATAATCTCTTTCATCTCGTCATCTTTTCTAGGTTTGATCAAATTAGTACTCCTTTGTGGAAAGTCAGCAACAGTCGTCCTTCATTTAGACTGGTCCCTAAGAGTCAAACTGCAGAAGTTTCCACTTTTGGCATCAGGCTGTCAATGGAGGTGAGAAAATAAAGCCATATTTCTCACTGGGGCATTGGTGATAACATTTACTTTGGTGTGACATGACTAATAAAAATAAAAAATATATAAAATACAAGTATCAATTCTTAGGATCTACTAGAGTTGTCCCAGAAGTGTGTGTGGATTTTATGCTAAGACTTAGGCCACAGTGTTTTTTTTTAACCCATGAACAGTTTCTGCACAATTTTCCACAAACGTGGCCTGGAAAAATGATGGCGCTCGTGATGCATGCTCGCTGGCAATTTGCAATTTGTACATTTTCATTATTTAAATCATATCCTTTGCGGTGGGATCATCACAGGATTATTGTCAAAGACGTTTTTTTTTTTAAACCGAGGTGTTTGCAATTTGAATAGAGGGCACCGTGGTTATGAATCCCAACGTTTTCCAGACAAAATAACTCGCGTGTACAAAAAAAAGGCAATTTTGTCATGATTGCGCTGTCAACACATCTCCATTTTAAATAATTTTCAGCATCCAATGGGGAACAAAAAATTCCCAGCAAAAACTAATTTCATGGTGGTCACAGATTTGTGAGCAAAAGTCATGGGAAACAGCCGCTGCTACCCACGCGTCTGTTGGCAGTAAACACGCCGGGGTTTGTCGATGCTAAGTTGTTCGCACTGACGAGCGATGCACAATCCCGAGCACCAGTAAACTCTGCCCTTGGAAGGCACGATCATAAAACAGAGTAATTACGCACCCTGCCTCGATTCCCCATGCACCACTGGGTGGTAACGTGGGGCTATACAGTATTTTCGCATTTTTGCTGGTGACTTTGCAAAAGCCAATCTGCTACGAGTTGTCTGTCGGGGTGCAAGCATCATCACCAGATTATTCACGCAAATTAATAGTTGTTTATTCGTGTGCTGCCACTTAATGATGAAGCTTTGCATTTCATGCATTTTTTGTACAGATACTGTGTGATCATTAATTGTCAATGGAGTTCATAGAATTGTTCTGTAATTGTGAAATGTCACCGCTCTCTTTCTACCCATACACACGCAGAGCTACATCTCTATGTTCTCCTGTCTTCCATCAGCTGCATACGTTTGAGTTAAAGCACCAGTTTCCAGATAAGTGCGTTTTATATTTTCGATTTGTTTATACTTTTGCATTATATTTGAATGCATAGCCTGTTGAAACGGTCCTTTTCTCCGTAACAATTTTCTCATGTATATTTTTACTATTTCATCTTTGCAATATTCTTCATCATCATCATCATCATCACAAACGATCCTGAAACATTAACAAGAACACTGTCATCCTTAATTCAGTTGCTGCAGAATAATTTGTTCAGCAAGAACATCTTGATTCGAAGCTTTCGTGACTGCAGGAATCCATACACTTTTGTTCTTTCGGTAAAGTCAACGTAGAACCAAAGATAATGTTTGTTCAGCAAGGTGACATTACGTCACCTGTGAAAGTTACAAAGTAGTAATCATCTCCGCTGTGTTTCAATGTGAAATTAATTAAAGACAATTTCAACCGAGAAGATGGATTCTGGCATAGCAATCATTGGAAGGATTTGATAAACCATTTCGGGTCTTAATTGATTGATCACGCTTAAGGTGGCTTTCAGACCGCATCCATTATTTTTCGTCTCCCCCCTCCTCTTTTCCGAACATAGATGGACTCGTCCATCTGAACAAACTGTCAAATCTCTCTCCGTGGTGCTAACGTTAAAAATAACCGCCACTTTTTCAAATTTTCTTGTTGTGGTTTTCACACCTGATTATGATTGCTTGTGTTGCAGTCGAAACGTCGTGAGAATTTTATTGTTTTATATTTTTATTATTTTATTGTTTCCCTTCTACGTGACTTTACCGAAAGAACCAAGAATATAAAAGATACCGTTTAACGATATTACGTGTAAATCCTTGCCCTCAGTTCTAGTTGCCTGCCAAACCAATGTAGTTAAGTCTCAATGTGTTCTTGTTTTTTTTACGTGTGTCCAATAGACTGTTAGTTGGCTTTGCTGCAGTAGCATGAGATTATTAAAAAAGAGGTTATTTAATGCCAACAATGTGTTTAATCTATGACTGTGATGAAAGGACGATAGTGGCATTCTGGCCGACTGGCCATCTGCGAGTTTAACAACACATTTATATATTTACGCGATCTAACCCAAAAAAAACCTGTATAATAGAAGATCAGTTGTACAAATGTCAAGATCCATTATTTCCTCTCAGTGACAGTAAAAACCTGTTATTATTTTTTTACTTGTTATTTGATTTAACACCTCGGCTTTTGCAGCTAATATTATGATTCATAATTTATCTTTGTGTTAGAGAACATACACTTAGTTATAGGTTTAGTAAAGCGACAACTTGACACGTGAGATAGTTTAAATACTAAATTCATCCTGGGATACAGTGACCAGTGTGGTGAAGTACGGTCAACAACCCCGATGGCGTGTTAAAGCCTCCTTCACAAAGCAGCGGACTGACAAAGGGTTGTAAGATATGAATATGTAATTGCTATTCATTATCTACTGCGATTACAATATAGTAATTGCAAAATAGAAAGTTACGTTTCAGCTTGCTTGCTCTTTCTTCATTGGCATACTTATTCCATTTGAAAATATGTTTTGTCATCAATGTATTCCTGCCTACTCCTGTAAACAACAGAGCTGAGCTTTCTCTGAGTTCTCCATTCGCTGGTGAAAGTGGCCAAACACTCCATACTCAGGACATCTTCTGTGTCAGTCTCGAGGCTCGGTGACACTTTTGCCGATGGACTTTATTTTCTATTCTACAATAGGAAACTGGTTTAAAATGTTACACGCAGATAAAAATGTCACAGTGCCAGACAAGATGCGGTTTGCACACCTGATGATGATGATGATTGCTTGTGTTGCAGTCGAAACGTCGTGAGAATTTTATTGTTTCATATTTTTATTATTTTATTGTTTCCCTTCTACGTGACTTTACCGAAAGAACCAAGATTATGAGATGAGCACCATATCATCCAATAGCAAGGTGTACTCGGGGAATGGACATTTTAATGATGCAGATTGCAACGCACTGCACAAGAGTTCACCTTCACTGCGACATAATTACAGTACAGTTACTGATGATCTAGCAACGTTAGAATTCACCAAACTGCAAGCCCATTTGAATGAGCAAAAAATATCTGATAAGAAGCTGCCATTCAATCACTAGACAGTGGTATTAAGGGAGGCAGGAGAGTAAATCACACAAAAAACCTCAAGCATCAGCTGTATTTAATGGGCTATATAATATAGCTGGGAAAATGAAAATATCAGCGTGTGAAGCAGGCTAGGATGAGCGTATTAAAGTAGTCCTCAGGATTTGGATAGCATGCAACAATATGGAAATTTTAAACGAGACAGAAATAAATAGCTGCATTTCAAAAAGTCTTGCCTCTGCAGGCGTCTAAAAGTGAAGCAGCAACATCACTTATCAAACGATGTGCTCCACACAAGGTCAGAGGAAGCGGCGCTATTTAGTGCAATAATTCAGAGATTACTTCCCTGGAGTGTAGAGGTGCCTCTACAAAGCCAGGCAGTGGGATTGTTTAAAGTTGGCAACAAATAAAACCAAAATAATACCGGGCAGACCACACGTGGGAATAGTGTGAAGTGAGCTGCGACATGCTCAGAGCATTCCATTCAGAGTTTAAGGCGAGTCATAATTTTTCAAAATACTTTTTAAGGATCCCAAACGGAATGATTATTGAGACCGGAAGAATCCGATGAGCTATGAAGCTCTTTTTCAAAGATGCCCAGTAGGGGCAGGTCAGAAAGTTACAACAACACAAAAGCTAATATGATTGCAAAGTTAAGGAAATCTAAGCAAGTTACTAAATGTAAATACAAATAAATAAAATCTACAAGTACAAATTGCATAAGT